GTGCCCGAGCTCATCCCTTCCCGAGCTGCCCCGGGCCGTGCCAGACCCGAGCTGTGCTGGGTCACTGAGCTGTCCCCACTGCCCCGTTATTCCTGCCCAGCCCGGGCTCCACATTCCCTCTGGACCATCTCTGGAGAAGGGGAGACCTGGGGCTGCAGGTGCAGGCTGAGGAAGGGGAGGCTGGAGGTGCCGTGTCTCTGTCTGTCCCATCAGATTCATCCTGGAGCTGTGTTCAGTGTTTCCAGAGGCACTGCTGAACTTTGGAAGACTGTGAGCACAGAGCCCGGGCTGCAGAGCTGATCTCCGTAGTCCCTTAGCAGCAAAGTGCATAAATGTGCTTTTTACTGCTCATGCGGGAGAGCCCTGCAGAGAGCAGAGATCACTCAGGGCTGGCACTGCCCAGAGACAGCGTTAGACTTGTTTGCGTTGGCTCTCACACTGCCAGTTTCCATCTTTGTGTCTTTATGTACCCTCATCTATGACTTTACTAGATTTTTTACAGCCGTGCACTCAGTGCTTCCTCCCTCTGGGGCAGAGGTGGGGTGGTAGGGACTCACCAGCAGCCCTGACAGAGCAGCTCTCTGGGGCAGCTCTGTGGTTCTGGGCTGTGTTTGGGCATGGAGACTGGATTTACTGCTCTGCAGGATCTGTTCTGGTGCTCTGGTCCTGCAGGTTTTAAAAGCAACGAGCAAAGCTGTCAGTGATGCAGCACTGCTTAATGATGCCATTTATAGTGGCTTTTTTATTTAGTTAACGCAGATGAAGGGGTTCTGTGGATTTGTCTGGTTGTTAATATAACACATCTTTCTGTTTTGGGCTTGATTATTTTGTATCCTGCAAACAAATGTTAATCTGTGACCTTGATTTCTTCAAGAAGAACCGAGAATTCTCTGGACAGGATACTGCCCAAAACAGGTATTTCATAGGGAACTGTTTCCTGCTTTTTGATTCCACACCCTCTGAGGAAAGCAGCCTTGGGAATTGTCTTTCTGCAGAATGCTTCTGCCTCTGCTGTGCACCTCCAGTAATGCTTTGTATGTTCTAGCAGGGGATGAAAACTTTCCAGCTGGTCAGCATGTTTAGGAGAGACTTGAGACCCGATTCTTGGTTCTTCAGCTTTCTGGTGAGTTTTACAGTAATTTTTATCATTTGAGTGTTTGAGAAAATATCAATGTTTCTGTGAATTTAACACACATCCTTTCTACCAGGTTGGTCTGTCCAGGACCCTCCTTGCCTTTGCAGCCCTGGCCAAGAACCAGACTTCTAAGGGTTAGTGTTTTTATCAGCATGCTGTATGTGTTTACAAATAGTATCCAGCACAGAGAAACAAAAGGTGGCCAATGGTGGAAACAGAGGAAAATAAATTTTTCCTGATGCCCTGTGTTGTGCCTGAAATGCTGTTTGCAGAGCTGAGTATTTGCCAGGCTGTTTGCTCAGCTGCTGTTCTGTGTGCTGCTGCAACTGCAAACAAAACAGGTTATTTTGTGCTTGCAAATTGCTTCTGCAAGTGCAGAGCATGGGAGGAGCTGGAAGTGGGGATAAAACGAGAAAATTTGTGTGTTCACAACTGCTTTGAGCTAGTTTCCCTGTGGGCCAACCCTGGGCATACCACAGGGAGCTTTTCCTTTGGGCTGAGCTCAGCATGGTTTGTGTGCCCTGCTCCAGCCCTGGCCTCTGGGAGCAGGCTCAGGTGTCCCTAAGCTTAGGTCAAATATAGTCTGAGCTTGTCTGTCACAACTGTGCCCCAAACAGCCTGAGGGTGGATGTGGAGAAGAGCTCAGTTTCTCCAGGATGCACCAGGCAGTGTTTGTAGCTGCCTGGAGATGCTGTGAGACACTGTGGCGTGAAGGTGTGTTGAGAGGTTTTCTGTTTCCCCACATTCTGTGTGTCTTTCTCCAGGTTTTGCTCCTGTCACAATTGAGACCTCAAGACACATGTATGAGTATGTGGCCACTGGTTTGGACTGGTGGCATGCTGACAGATACTGTGAGCAGCACTTTGCTCAGCTGCTCTTCGAACCCCAGCACAGTGATCACGTTTCCTTCAGCAAACTGCTACAGTCCCATCACATCAGAGGTTCTGTCTGGCTAAAGGAAAGGAATGGTATCCTGCACAAACCAAAGAGGAGACGTGAGTGTTAGTGGGCTTGATCCATTTGGAGACATGTTCACTGTTGGATCCTTTACATTCAGAAAAATCTGATGGGAAAAGTTGTCACTTGTTATTGTCACTTTATTGGCCTGTGCTGACTGGAATTTCTCCTTCTAGGGGATCACACTGTACCAGTCTTGGTATTCAGAGACAAAACAGACACAAAATACGTGAAGGTGCTCTCTGACTTCCCAGCACTGCCTGCAGTGACAGCCTGTGCCCACCTCCAGTGGGACACCAGGACCCAGGAGATCGCTACCATCTTCTCCTACGCTGTGCCAGCTTTCATTAACGAGTTCCAGCTCCGTGGCTCTGTTGACGAGGAAGGCTTTGTTCGGTTTGCCCTCATAGTCCACGGGCACCACTCCCCATACCTGCCTGTGTTCCGTGCTGATGGACAGTGGCATCACTTCTGTGTCACCTGGCAGCAGGAGAATGGCACCTGGGCCATCTATGCTGATGGGAAAAGGAGAGCATCTGCCATTGGGTTGTGTGCTGCAGGGACGGTTGCCCCCCAGGCCATCAATGGCCAGGGGACCTTCATCATTGGGCAGGATCAAGATTCCCTGGGGGGCACCTTCAGGGCGAAGGAGTCCTTCAGTGGGAACATCACTGACTTGCACATCTGGCAGAAAGTCCTCAGTGTGGAGCAGATTGAGAAGGTTCGGTCGTGCTGGGTGGTAGAGCAAGACCTTGTGTTTGGGTGGAGCTTCAAAGCTCTGGAGGTGGAGAGCACCGTTCAGGCAGTGACTGCACAGATTCTTTGCCCAGGTAGGTCTCATTGCCCTTGTGGCCTCAGGTGTCTCTGCAGCAGGAGGGTCAGCCCACAGGGACAGTCTGAAAAGCCAGTCCCATCCTTAGGGAGGGAGTTTGGTGCAGTTTGTGGAACGATGCTTCTCCTTCGGGAAGAAAAGCAGAAGCACATTCAGAGCTGAGCTGGGCAGTTCACAATTGTGCTTGAGGTCACAGTCATCACAAAACCCTTGGCCACTGGAGACCTTGCAATGCCCCTGGCACAGATGGCTGCTCAGGCTTTCTCTTCTACTGAGAGAAATACTTCCTTGGCAGGGAAGCTGTTCCCTGGGGTTTGCACACCCCTTGCTTCTGTGCTCTGCTGGGAGGAGACACTTGGGCTCTCAGCCAGGTTGGGGTGACATTACTGATCAGTCACAAACCAGGACCTAGTACTGCCACCTCCCAGTTCCCTCTGGAGAGGAGATACCAGCTGGGAGCTGTTTCTGAGCCTGCTCTGCTCTCCCTCTGAGGTCGCTTGAGGAGCAGCCCACAGTGTCTGGCATACTGGGGTTTGTGGACTGCTGCAGGAAAGGTGGTACCTTCTGGGGATGGCATGTCCCTGGGAGACCCAGCCCTTCTGTCTCCCTGTGTTTCCACAGGGCCT